GAGATATGATTTTCAACACACTATGGCTTCTGCGGAGGGGCGGCGACTCGAGGCGGACTGCTGGCTCTCTAGGTTGAACGAATGTCGGGAGAAAATTCGGGCTATGGTGGTCCAGCTCTCCTCCCACCCCCTGTCTGGTCTTGAGGTTGAAGGGGGAGCAACCTCTGTAACCGGATGGGTGGAGGCCATAGTGCAGCGCATGTTGGAAATCAGCGAGCCTTTCGAAGAGGGGCCTGCCATGGAGATAGATGCCTATGGGGCTCGTTCGACACTCCTCGGGGCGTCCTCGGGCCCCGAGGACGTTAACTTACTAGCCCTCCTCTCAAATCTACCAGCAGATGATTATCAATTTGCGGTATACTTGCACAATTATTCCTCCTCTCTCCCATACCACTTAAGATCCACCAAGGCCAGTTCCGAAGGAGGGAAGAATTCTGGAAAATCTGCAACATCTTTTACTATGTCATCAGGCCCCAAATCCCACCATCGATTGAACACTATTTTGTAATCTCGCTTGAGTGGCGCTTCCAAAACCTTTTCTCCAGCCCATTCCACTTTCCCAATGTTCCTGCCCTCTGTCTCCCCAAGCCAGTCCTTTTTAAATTGTGAGAGAATTTTTTTGATGTTTGATTTCTGAAAAGTAGTTTTGAGCTTATTCGTGGTATTAGTCCAGCGAACTCGGATTTCTGCTTCCACAAATTGCTTAACAATATCTCTGAGTTCTGTCCCTTCAAGCCTTACTTCTTCCATAGCATGCACACATCTTTTCTGCCATAAAGCCCAAAGTACCGCTTTCCTTCCCAGATGAAAAAGATTATCTTGGAAAGTAGATAGTGATAGGGTAGAGAGATCACAATATCCAAATAATATCACCCGCCAATCCCATGGCGAATCCAGTTCCGTCAAGCGCTTCCAAACACAATCTCATCTTCTCCACATCAGAATAATTGATCCGGGGCACTGTGTAAATATGTGCTCTATGGTTTCCCTATATTTACGTGAAGGGAATGACAAGAAGCAGAATTGGCACCAAGGGGATGCAAGCCCCCTTTGCTCTAAAGTTGTATGGTCTATTAGCCATTCATTGGTGGGCAAGCAACGATGCACAATCTGCCATTGGAGAGATGAAAAATTGGCTGGTCTTTCTTTAATTTTTTGAAACCAACGTAGGGGTCTAAGTTTCTCCATATTAATACTTAGATGTTGTGCCCATTGGTCCTGCGTAATTGCCATTACATCTACCTTGGGTCTCAGCAGACGATATGTAGCTTTGACCGTGAGTGATTGTAATGTTCTCATTTTACCATGTTGGCTTGTCATCCAGCACCATTTCCCCAGATCTATACGAAGGTCTGCTATCAGTAATTCAGGGAAGTAGGCACACCATTTTGAATTAGGGGAAGTTAATAAGACTTTGATCCTGTAGAGAGCATTGTGAGGTAGAAATTCCACCCTATCTATATCATATCTGGAAAGAGAAAAATCCCTTTGTAATTCAAATATATTAACTAATGCCCCCTGATGATAAATGCACACTATCTGACCTAAGATCCTTTGATTGTTATTGTCGAAGCCAGATACCCAATCCCCCTCTTGCAGGGCTGACCCTTTTATAAGAATAGCCTCCCATGCTATAGGTATTGAGGCTGTAATCTGGTGTAATGATTCTGAAAGATGGTGTACATATCGTAAAATAGGTCTTAATTGTTCCATCGATATCCATCATTTTTTAATTGGATCCCAAATATCCTTGATTCTCACTACTTCCCTTTTTACCCACATCCTCCACGGTGGGGAAGAACTATTGAAGATACTTCCATTCAAATTCGTGATCCATCGATTGCCAAAAAAAGGTTGACGTAAAATTTCTTCATAACGTCGTGTCAAAGGTATGTCAGGCAGTGGTAGTCTCCACCATGGTTTTAACAGAGACGCCCAAAAATTATCGAGAACTAAATCTTTCGTAGATTCTCTCTTTACTCCCTCCATACAGGATCCTAGATTTGGCCTAGGGATACTCCAGAATCTGTCTTCTATCCATGTCAAAGGGTGCACATTTTCTGTGGAAGGGGGGACAAGTCTTCGAATTTGTTCCATTGCCATAGGCATCCACGGAATTTTCCGAGCAAATATTAGTTTTTTTATCCATTGTAGTGATAAGGCCTGACTTTGTACATCAGGGTCTAATAGACATAATCCCCCTTTCGACTTAGGTTGTATAAGAGTGAGTCAGACCACTCGTGGAATTGCTCTAGGGGCTTCTTGATCCCCTCTCCAGAGAAATGTTGTAATTAGTTTCTTTAAACCAGTAGTGACAGATTTGCCTAGCGACCAAATGACCGATTTATACCAAATAGAGATCAATACAACATTGTTAATGATTAAAGTTCTACCAAAAATTGAAGTGTGTTTATTTTTCCATTGATTCATTTTGTATGATGTTGGCTTAGAAATCCATACATCATTAGTTGATGGTTTGCCCTGTGCCGTCAAAGATACCCCCAATACTCTAATTGGGGCTTCCAAAGGAAGATATTTCACTTTTGGTATTTTCGGAGGTCTGATTCCATTGGAATGAATCCACCATCCCTGTGTCTTACTTCCCCAGTTAACGACCATGTCTGATACCATAAGGAACTTGTCCATGAGTGTTTTAACTTCTTTCATGTTATCTGCTGAGGCCTCAAGAATGAGGGTAAGATAATCAGTGAACATAGAGGTTATAGGAATGGCTTCCTCTGGAATCCCAACAATTTGTAAGCGCTGAAGATTATGGTTACATCTTAAATTCGCCGCTAAGGCTTCCATTATGATCAATAAGAGGAAAGGTGCTAATGGGTCCCCCTGCCTGACTGATCTCTGGAGCTTAATCTCAGGCGAAAGAATACCATTTACTTGAATTCTGGTTGTTGCGTTGGAGTGCAGAATATTGATTCATTGTCGGGCCAAATATCATTTTTTGCAAACATGCATCTAAAAAATGTCAGTCCACACGGTCATAAGCTTTTTCGAAGTCTATAAATATAAATGCGGCGTTGAGTCGAAATTGACGAGAAAGTTTAACCATTTCATTGATTAAAAGAATATTATCCTGTATATGACGCCCTTTGATAAATCCTGTTTGTGCAGGATGAATGATATCAGACATTACTGGTATTAGTCTATTAACTATTGTTTTTGCTAACATCTTATATATTACTGTAAGTAATGTGAATGGCCTATAATTCCTTATGTTAGTCTTATCTCCCTTTTTGTAAAGCAAAGTAAGTACTCCCTGGCCCACCAACTCCCCTGTGTGACCAGGTTCCTGAACTTGTTTGTAGAATTTCAGAAAGTCATCTGCAAGAGTTGACCACATGACTTCCCAGAATTCTTTGGGAAAACCATCTATTCCTGGTGTTTTATCTTCTTCCATTTGTAGTAATGTTGTTCAAATTTCATTCTTTGTTATCATATTTTCTAGAGCAGTCCTTTGTTCAGGGAATAAGGATTGGGTCAATGGGTTGAGAAACTGTTTGATCATTTGATCATCCTCCTTTATATCTCTAACATTTCTGGCCGAAGTAAAAAGATCCTTAAAGAAATCATATGCAATTTTAAGATTCATAGCAGAGGTGACTCGGATATCCATATCCTCCAGTGAGTGTTGAGTAGGGTCAAATAAGGCTTCAATATTGGTTATCTTTTCTAGTGCTTTGGCTAGTACAAAAAATGCAGTGTCCATTTGTCCTTCAGTCCGATACTTTTTGAGTTTCCCTCTAATAATCTGCCCTTGCCAACGGAGTTGCGCAAAGGCCAGGAGCTGTGTTCTCAAGTTTTCGGTATCGACATTTTGTTGAATTTCGATCCTCGGATCCTGTTGCTCATATTTCAAGATTTGTTCCTAGATATGCATCTCGTGATTATATCGATTTTTTGCCAATACTTTAGAATATTCCTGACATTTCTTACATAAAAAAGCAAGACCATTATTAAACCAAGCTATATATGACTTTTGCTGGGGCTTAGTTGTATGCCAAAATTGCCATACGTCCTGAATATATTGCCTGAATTGCTGAGAAAGGAGGAGAGAAGTATTAAACTTATAAAATCCTTTGCCTTGGTTAGTTTTCTTTCTGAAGGAAAGAAGTACTGCACACATCTTTTGATCTGCTCCTGGCCAGGGACTTTGAGGGAAAATAGTTGTTCCCTGAAGAACCCTGTTTAAATCATTAGATAATAAAATTAAATCAATCCTTGATTTAGAGGGGTGGGGGGAGCAACTATTCCGAATGCATAAGAAACTACGTTCTTGTGGGTAAAATCGTCTAAAAGAATCAAAAATATTTTCAGACTCACACAACCGTTGAATTATATTTTTGTTTTCTTCAATATAGGGTGGACAAGGAGAAAGAATCTTCCATCTATCCATCGATCTGTCTGTCAATCATTCGTCGGAAAGCAGTAGAGACGACAACTTCATTTGCAAAATCCGTGTTCAATCCACAAGATGACAAACCGAGACGTTCTACTGTGTGTGTGTGTGTGTGTGTGTGTGTGTGTGTGTGTGTGTGTGTGTGTGTGTGTGTGTGTGTGTGTGTGTGTGTGTGTGTGTG